TAAGTATCGGAAGCAAATTCTACTTGTGCCTATGATTATATGAGACTATAATTTCTAATTATCTAACTAATATTTTATATAGTTTAAATGAAAAATTTAATTTTACTAATCAAAATTATAGATATAAATATTAAATGGGTTTGAAAAATACTCACAAAAAATTTAGTATCGTTCTATTCAACTGATCACAAAATGTGTTTCAAATTATAAAATTGAAGAAATACTTTTATTAAACTTACCATAATTATTCAAAATCATAAAAAAATACAAATGCTTTAATGTTAATCAAACTATACTAAAAAATGATTTTATAGTTATCCAAATTATTTTGTATTATATTTGGTGAAAATTTGATATCTATTAATAATTTACAAATTTTTTTAATAACAATTGTCATTTAAAGAAAATTTATTTGTGTTAAATATTAAATCAATTATATCAGTAATTTTTTTAACAAATTAATTTATACTTAATTCTAAAAACAAGTAATTAACTGAAATTTTAGATAAGTATGAAATAAACGTGACAGAATGTAGGCAAATAATGCATTAATACAATATTAAAGTGATAATTTATCCAAAAATGGTAACCATGTGTTATCTGGCGGTAAGCTTATGCTGATAGATAAGGTTTTATAATCGAATAGAAAACCAAAATTAAAGTTACTCCGAAGAAGATTCGAAATGGTGTTATGGAATCGCTTATCAATGGGACTAGTTTCATCCTTGATTCTTCCTCTACTATGAAAAACTGCATCAATAAATAATGAGATAACTGGTGTACCTCCTTTTTTTACTTCAGACGTTAATGGTTCTACATGGCAGGCTAAAAAAATATCTACTTCTAATAAAGCAATTGTTAGTTGATCAGTCATGTTAAAATCGGCAAATGACCCATTTCTTAAGATTTGTTTCAATCTTATTAAAACATCGTGAATTTGATTAGATAATTTTACATTAAGATTAAACAAAGAATTAGCCATATAAGAAAAATATAACAACGATTCGTACATCTTATGAATTTCCACTGTTAAAAATTTTAATTTATCAAAAAAGCTTTCTGTACAATGAGGCATAGTCGATTTTGGTACTGGCTCTTGACAGAAATTCCAGTTGGCCAATGAGTGCTCTAATAGAGGATGTAACTCTATGGCGTAGTAGACGCTTAGTAACAAATGAAATTGCCATACCCTATCAACAAAATTGTCTTCGGTAATAATTGTGCCATATGATTCATTATTTGAATATAGAGTTTGCAAATTAAAACTCTGAAGGTTCCCATTCAAGTCATGACCAGTAAGTAAAATATTACAAAATGATTGTTGTTCAATCAATGACTTCCACATAGGGAAATGTACCAATGTGTTAAATTCTTGAATGCTAACTGCTACTGTTGTTATATTCACAACAGTACAAATAAAAAGACACGAAAATAGTAAAAATGTAAACATCTTTTTAAAAAATAGACAAATCTTATAAAAATTGTTTTTTACTGATCGTTAAAAAGTGCTTAAATGATCTTTTATATAGTTAAATTTTATGTTTATTACTATTTTGTTAAGTTTAGAATTTAAGTAAATAGTAAAACACATTAAAATTTCAGGTGTATTTATTTCTTTTGATATGAGACGGTACAAGGATATTAAAATCGTCATCATTAAAAATAATATTTTTGATTTAATTAGATAAATTGATATTAAAAAACTGCGATCAAGTTAAAAAAACCCAGCACAGTGTGGTGGCGGCACAGTGGGGTCGTGGCATAGTTGGGTCCAGTATAGATGACATCTGACAGTGATTAAAATCACTATCATAAAAAACGGTCCGATGCAATTCTGTAGATAGTGTTTAATTTAAAAAAAATAAATTGTCAAAAAAGTAGATCAAGTGAGAGCTGAGAAAAAAAATGATAGCTACAAAAAAAAAAACCACATAGTAAAATAATATTAATATGAATTTCTTCTCACGAGAAGAGACTACAGTAATGGTATCCATGATATTTATTGAAATTATTGAATCTAAATGAGATAAAAATCAATTGAGTTAAACATTTTTTTCTAACTCAAAAAGAATTAAAAAAAAATTCAGTGCCACAGTGATACCGTCTCAGAAATCGTACGTCGCATTCGTCAATTTATAAAAATGGAAATTTATCTAGTTCAAATATTTTTGAATACGGTAGCTATTTTCACCGTGAAGACAAAATAAAGTCCAAAATTTTTTTTTTTAATATTAAAGTATATTACATAAGCTTTAATTTAAGATATATATATAAAAGTGTCAGTATTTCTGGAACACTTTCAAAAATGATGTTGAAAAATTTCTACTTTCTTTATGCATTTTAAAGATTTGAACCTCCATGTATTAAGGGAAATGGTCCGATTAAAAAAAAAAGTATGTCGAATGAAAGAAGTATATAATATAAATATTTATAAATTTATATTTATATAAATTTTAACACAAAAATAGCATACGGTAGCTATTTTAACCGTGAAGACAAAATAAAGTCCGAAATTTTTTTTTCCATAAAGTATATTACATTACCTTTAATTTAAGATATATATAAAAGTGTCAGTATTTCTGGAACACTTTCAAAAGTTAATTTTTTGTGAAAAAGTTGTCATTTTGAATCGCTACCTGGGATTGGTAAAGGGTTAAATTTATAAAAAAAATACACCAAAAATAGGTATAGATATCAAGCATCTATAAAAAAAAATTATATTAATTTGTTCATTTTTGAAAAAGTTTCGGCAGTTTTTAGTAAAAAAAATTTTAAAATTTCGAAAATTAGCGATTTTTAAATTTGTAATTTTTTTGGAGGTTTCCCCCATTTACGGGAACGAGGGAAATTTTTTCAATTTTTGAGGGTAATGTCTTTGACTATATACGATTTGTGATCTTTTGACGTATTGTTGAAAGAAATCCGTTCGGTTAGAGCTGAGAAACAGTGGTAACAGACCCAAAAAAAAAACACATCATAGTAAAACCAATACCTTCTCAGATTCGCATCAAAGCTAATAAACGGGGAGGACTGATTAATAAGCGAAAGTTTTGTATGGACTGAAAAAGCTGAGAAGGAAGAAGATATCGTTTTTATGACAATGGTATCTCGCAATTGTTATCACTATGTTTATGATACAAATTAAAAATTATAATATCTTAAATCAAATCGTTATAAATTTAGAGTATTTATAAGCAATTAAAAAATAAATAACATCATAAATTCAACTTTTTTATTTTAGATGAATTTAAATAAATTTTAGGTTTTTTTTTACTATAAAATTTTATTAATTTATGTATAATAAATTATATTTATATATATATATATATAAATATTATAATAAATGCAATGAAAACTATTATTAATATTTTTAGATAAACGTTTATAAATCACTATTTTGTTAAATAATTTATTATTGTATAATAAATTATTATTATCACGTATGAATTATTTTTAAATTAATACTTGCAAAGTAAAATAATTAAAATACATAAATATTAATCAAAGTGTGTTGTTTGATTTGTAAATAGTTTTCAAATTGACATTTTTTAAAAGTTGCCTAGCTACAAATAGACCATAAAACCATAAATTTTTCTTAAAAATAATATATTATGAAAATTTGCGTAAATACATGGGTCGAAGGTGGTAGTTTGCCCCTACTAAATTTTTCTCAGGTCAATAAAATCCTATTTTTTTAAATGGTTGGTCAAAAAAATGTTTTCAATATTAATAATTAATCTGTCGGTCAAATTTAATTGGTTGTTGCCTTAAAAAAAAATGGTCTTTGCTACAATGCTGTTTATAAGTTTTTTCAATTCCAGTATTGATAATATTATTATAAGCAATTGTAATTCATATAATTTACAATATAAACACTAATCACACGTACTATATAATAAACAAGAACTGACACGTTGAAAATAAAATAAAATTACATACTTTTATTTCGATTAACAATTTAAAAGAAAAATAACTTTTGACATATTAACAGGACAAAAAGAAAAATGACATAACATAAAGATTTTACACATTTAAAATAAAACGTACTTCAATTTAGTTAATTGATAAATTTTTAAATGATGGCATCAAACTATTTTCCGACGTCAAATTTACAGTGACATTTAAAGATTGCAAGTTCAATACAAATCCAAAATTGTCGTTACTACTAATGATTTCCAAATTGTTCATTTGAAATTGCTTTTCAATAGACTTAGTTTTGTATTGTTGTCTTTTTCGAGCAAGAAAAACCTCATCGATAAAAAGTGTAATAATTGACGTATTTCCTTTTGCAACTTCATATGCTATCGGATTTACATGTCTGGCGAAAAATGATTTTATTTCGTCGAGCGCGAGTGTCAGTCGAATTCTAACATCACAATATTCAATATTTCCATAAGCTAACATTTGTTTCAAAATAATTAAAACACCGTGAATTTTATTTGTGATTTTTATTTTGGTTTCAAACAGAAAAGATGCCATATCAGAAAAATACAACAGCGATAAATGCATTCTATATATTTCTTGTGATATAATGTTAAAATCCCGGAAAAAATTTTCGGTGCATAATGGCAATACTATTAATGTAATCGAGTCTTGACAAAAGTCCCAGTTATTCAGCGCAAGCTCTAACATACGATATAGTTCTATGGCGTAATAAACGCTAAGTAACAAATGATATTGCCACACCCTATCCATAACATTGTCATGTGTAATGATACTATTATTTGAATTATTCGGAAATAGTGTTCCCAACGTGAACGTTTCAAGTTTTCCGTTCAAATCATTATCAGCAAAAAATAATTGATTTATAAATGACAGCTCTGCTAGAGATTTCCACATGGGAAAATCCACCAGAGTATTGAATTCTTGCACACTGAAGGGTTGTACAGTAACATTTATAGAATCATAAAAAAAAATGCATACAAATAAAAATATTTTTAACATAATGTAAAAAATATAAAAGACGACAATGTACAATTTATTCAAACAGATATGAAAAAAATATCGATGTGCTTACACAATTGCATCGATAATTTCTAAATCTATTTAATATATATATATTTGAAATTTATGTCGATGAGTCTATTTGAAATGAATTAATATTTAAGGTAAAGAATTGTATTAATACAAAATTTGTCATAGATTAAAATAAAACTGTTAATTAAATTTATGTTAAAAACTGATATCTAGAAAACGTCTAAGTAAAACGAAAAAAATAATGCTCATGTATAATTTTATTGTTAACTAAATATATAAATAATTCTACTAAGAATATTAATAATGAAACAGTTACATATTAAATTTTGAACTTAAGAGTAATTGAAATTCGAGAGTATTTTTTTTCTTTAATATCAAAATTAATCCTCAATTAATTAGTTAATTTTAAAAATTAATATATTTTAATATTTATACTAACCAAATATAAGCTATATATATTAAGCATAATATCAAAAAAAAAAATTTTAAAAAAAGTTAATAGTCTATATAAATTTTTTAATCTGTGTAATACAAGACGTCTCAGACCTAACTAACAACGCTTATAACTTTTGATTTAATTATTATTTTTTTACTAATTATTACCTTCTAAAACTACCTTTAAATTATATTTTTCATTATTTATCATTAATAAGATATAAGTTTTGGAGTACGTTAAGAAATATTTAATATATTCTATGTCTCTAATAAGAAATAATTAAAACATTTTTTCATTTACGTAGACTAATGTTGAATTAAAATGTTTTTAACTCGATGATTACTCGTTCTAAAACTTTTGCTGACCAGCAACATTGTAAGAAAAAGACTAAATAATGGCTATTTTGAAATTAAAAAATGAAATGTTTTAATTTTAATATTTTTTTCTTATTAGTAATAAATTATAAAAAATATGCTTTAAACGTAATATAAGGCGTTAAACATTAGTTTAAAAATAATAGTATAATAAAATTATTAATTATTTATATAATCTATATAATTTTTTATAAGATGGGAATATTTTAAGTCTAAGCAGGAGGAGGAACGAAGTTTCCTATCTAATTTTTAATTTGAATGGATAAGTATCTAAAATTTCTGGAAGTTAAAAGTCAATACTTAAAAATTGTATTATTAGCATGGTACTATAAGATTTTGAAACAAGCATATATATTATACTTTCAAAGGTTAATGATCGATAGTTATGTTATCGCCCGGTATTTTAAATAAATTCAGACAAATACAATTCACGTATGACATATAGAAATAATATTTCTTTCCCATTTAGTTAAATAAAATGATTTTACATCAATTAACATATGCTATTATATTAATAAATCTAAAATAATTGTGAAAAAATTTTTCAATAAAAAAATTCATTAATACATAGTTTTGTTTGTAAAGCCGCAGTTTTTTCTATAATAGTAAAAATATTAATTTGAAAATTTTTCGTTTATTTTTCAGAATTACAATTACCAGGTATACTTTTATTAATTGAACGTTTTAGAATTTATGATGCATTTGTTAAGTATTTCAAATGTAATACTATTATGTGTATTTATTAAGAAATTAAAATGCAATAAAATTGATCTGGACAATCTCGATGTTGTTAAAGTACATGAATACATAGAAAAGAATAAGCCGCTTATGGATTTAACAATAAATGGTGACACTATTTACACTCAATCCGAATCTTTTTTGTCAGATCGAAAATTTTATATTCAAAATCAAAGGAACATTGATCTTAATACACCTCCGGTCGAGAATAGAGAAATAGGAATTTATAAAACTACTGAACATATTATAAAACCTAACGTCGCAAACAGTACAAATGGATCTAGAGAATTAAGAATTCTAGATCATATCGATGGAATTCCAGTCATTGGATCACCCTTAGGATCAATTATGGAACAAATTCTTATCAATGTCGATACGCCCAATTATTTAGAGGCTATAATATGGCTGCAAAATGTAATTGAGAGTATTGGAATTTCTGGAGTAACTAGATACTGCGAAATAACTACAGCATTGTTAAATACTCAAACAAAAGTGTCAATTCTACATAAAAAGTATTCGACATTTATACAAATGTTAGAAAATCTATTTTATGAATATCGTTTATTTGGCGCTCCAATTAAAAGATTAATAGAAATTATTGCGGAGTATGAAAAGTCCCCTGAAAGTAGCCATGCTAAAAAATCTTATTCAAAGTCGTGTGTATTACTAGCTAAAAATTATAGCAAATATACTCGTTTAGTGAATGCTTTTGTTTGGAAAGATGTCTTAGATTTAACAACTACTAAACAAATGAAAGATGAATTGGAATATGTGATAGCATCTTGTTATTTAAAATTCAATAAGACATATTTGACTTAATAGTATCTTTTTACATAATATTTGTTATGTGTTTTCAATTTATTTTGTCAAATAAAATTGTTTTAATAAAAAAGTACTTCTTTATTAAAATTTAAATGATTATTTTCGCCATTTTATTTCATATTCATTTTTTTTAACAAGCGTTCAACTTAAACACGGGTAGGGCTCAAAGTTTTTATTAACATTTTTGAGCCTCAAAGTGATTGAACAAAAAAAAAAAACAGATTATCTTAAATTATTAACTTTTTTTATTAACTTCATCTTAACGAGTTTTAAAAAATCTGCATATCCTAGTTAATTAGTGATGAGTTATAAACTAGCGTAGCACAATTAACTCATCTATAGAACACTTGTCATCTAAGCTAGATGTTAATTTAAGACCTCAGAAGACAAAATAATTTGAATCATAAGTGGTTAAATAAAATAAATAAATCGTTCGACTAAAATTTAAAAAATGGTTTCAACAAATATTAAAAAAAAGTAATAATGCAATCATACCGTAATGCAGTTTATTTGGTACATTAAATATATTCCTTTATATTCTATTCAAAAGCTGTTATAAAATTTCAGTTACCTAATTATTTAATTCTTGCAAATACTATAATAATATATGAGGTATTTTATTAATAATAGTATTGATTATATATTTCAAATATTAATAAAATATATCATTAAATAGTATGTAAAATTTAACTACTGTTACTGAAATATTTAATTATAATTTTTTTAAAGAAAATAATTATTGGCTGGTTATATTTTACAATGTCATACTAACAAACAATTTGATTTACAGAAATAAATGTAATTTGAAAATTTCGCTTAGTTTTAAAGCTATCAATATTAGTTCTTATTATCATAACGAAAGGCTAATACATAGAAAGTATGTATATTTTTAACACGCTTATATTAGTTTCACTTGTATGTATGTATGTATGTATGTA